GAACTAAAATGTCACCTTAAAAATGCAGACCTATGTTTGACCTAAAACATGGCTAAGTGTTTGTAAGGTTTGGAACGTATAGTGATTCCCTTTCATTTGGTCGCCATTGTCTGTAAAAAGCAGCAGTAGAGCACTTCATCTTGGAGAGATCACTCACTCAGAAACCTCAACTCTGTGAAGTGTTATTGTGAGGCAATAAGGCTTTCTCACGGCACAAGTGGGAGTTGCAAAGTCCATGTACTCGGTCTTGAGTTGAAGCCTGAGTAATTTGGAGTTACAGACATATTACTATCTAGCTTAATTATCAGATTTCTCACTGAAAATCTGCAAAAGTTGAATGATCTGTTAGAAACATACGTGATGTCCATGATGGTCAGAAGCCTAATAGGATAGAAAAATAATACAAAGGAATAGTAGAAGTTGAGTAATAATTAAGTTTGTTAACATTTTTTGAGCATTTATAGTACTAGGTACTGTGCAAAGATTTTTATATTCATTTCTTCATTTACCACCTAAAACATCCCTGTATCGATATTGGAGAAGACTTAGGTTTAAATGCCAAGAAAGCTTATAACTATGTTCTTTAAGAAGCCAGAGATGGTTGTAATTAGTTGTAGATTGCTATCAGAAATCAATAAAATGAAAAGGCCATTTTAGTGGCTGACAGTATCTCAAATAGCTTAATTATGGTGGATAAATAAGTTGTTCTTATACTCATTTTTGACTTACTGATTTTGCAGTGTGGTGATTTGAGTTTGTCTTAAGGCACTAGAGAGAAAGTTTGGATTAAAATCACCAGTTGAGAAGAATATGTGCTTGCCACTAAAACCCAAGTTTAATAGATAAAAGACATGTTTATAGTCTTTTTTCTTCTCCTTTTGTTTGGCTGCATCAGGTGGCTTGCAAAATCTCAGTTCTCCAACTAAGAATTGAACCTGGTCTACAGCAGTGAAAGCCTGGAATCCCAACCACTAGGCCATCAGGGAACGCCCAGCATGTTTGTTGTCTTGAAAAACAAACAAACAAAAAAAGAAACAAAAAAAAATAGTCTTGAAACATATTTACCCAAACTCAGGAATTTTTATATATACATAGTACACTTTAGTGATTAGAAAAAAAAAAAAAAATAGTGATTAGTTTTTAAGTTACATTTTACAGCTTTCTGAAAAAACTAGTGATTTTATTTATTAATCCAAGTTAATTGAAGATATATAATTTGAACTCATTAGAAAAGAAATCTATCTTTAGCTAACAGTTTAATCTTACAGTCATACTCAGGAAAGCTCTTTTTAGCTTTAGGTATTCTTTAAGCTGAGAATAGTGAGATTCATGTTTTCAGAAGATAATTGTGTAGTTTTTCTCAAGGTTAAAAAAAATGAGAAAAGCTATCAACCAATTACTTGATAAAGAGAACATTTTATTATTCCTTTTTTTTTTTTTTACAGTCCAGGTCTTTATTTTTACACCCTTCAGGCCATGAATTCATAGGGAATGGGTTCCAACAGTTCAGGTTCCTTTCCAGTGGTCCTCACAGAGTGTGCTTCTCTGGGTGGAGCAGGCTGGTGCTTCAGCTGAACCCAAGTCCCTTTCTCTTTGGCTTCCTTCTTTTACTGATCATTTTCTTTCACACATTTTAGGAAGCTATCTTGGCTCTTAGAGTGCTTAATATGCTCGATAGGCACATTAATTGTCTTGGCAAGAATCTTGCCCTTAACTTGTTTGTTTGCAATGATGCCAACAGCATTCTGGGTAACATTGTAGACTCTCCCAGTTTTGCCATGGTTAACATTTGTGGGGCATTCCTTTTTGAACAGTACCCATTCCCTTGATACCTACAATATCCCCCTTCTTGTAGATTCGCATGTCCGTGGCCAAAGGAACAACTCCATGTTTTCTAAAAGGCCTAGAGAACATGTAGCGGGTGCCCCTCCTCTTTCCCTTAGTGTTGGTCATTTTGGCGAATTACTGGAAGATGACAGTTCCGGCCAAAAAGCTATTATTCCATTTTTGAAAGTCAATATAATTAAAAGAAGTAAGTACAATTTAAGGTAGGAATAATTTCTAAACGTGAGGAGGAAAACAATGGGAAAGAATGGGAAAGACTATAGAGATCTCCTCAAGAAAATTAGAGATACCAAGGGAACATTTCATGCAAAGATGGGCTCAGTAAAGGACAGAAATGGGAGGGACCTAACAAAAGCAGAAGATATTAAGAAGAGGTGTCAAGAATACACAGAAGAACTGTACAAAAAAGATCTTCACGACCCAGATAATCACGATGGTGTGATCACTCACGTAGAGCTAGACATCCTGGAATGTGAAGTCAAGTGGGCCATAGGAAGCATCACTACGAACAAAGCTAGTGGATGTGATGGAATTCCAGTTGATCTATTTCAAATCTTAAAAGATGATGCTGTGAAAGTGTTGCACTCAATATGTCAGCAAATTTGGAAAGCTCAGCAGTGGCCACAGGACTGGAAAGGGTCAGTTTTCATTCCAGTCCCAAAGAAAGGCAATGCCAAAGAATGCTCAAACTACCACAGAGTTGCACTCAATCTCACATGCTAGTAAAGTAATGCTCAAAATTCTCCAAGCAAGGCTTCAGCAATACATGAACCGTGAACTTCCAGATGTTCAGGCTGGTTTTAGAAAAGGCAGAGGAACCAGAGATCAAATTGCCAACATCCTCTGGATCATAGAAAAAGCAATAGAGTTCCAGAAAAACATCTATTTCTGATTCGTTGACTACACTAAAGCCTTTGACTGTGTGGATCACAATAAATTGGAAAATTCTGAAAGAGATGGGAATACCAGATCACCTGACCTGCCTCCTAAGAAACCTGTATGCAGGTCAGGAAGCAACTGGACATGGAACAACAGACTGGTTCCAAATAGGAAAAGGAGTACGTCAAGGATGTATATTGTCCTCTTGCTTATTTAACTTATATACAGAGTACATCATGAGAAATGCTGGGCTGGAGGAAGCACAAGCTGGAATCAAGATTGCCAGGAGAAGTATCAATAACCTCAGCTATGCAGATGACACCACCCTTATGGCAGAAAGTGAAGAAGATCTAAAGAGCCTCTTGATGAAAGTGAAAGAGGAGAGTGAAAAAGGTGGCTTAAAGCTCAACATTCAGAAGACTAAGATCACGGATCCGATCCCATCACTTCATGGCAAATAGATGGGGAAACAATGGCTGACTTTAGTTTTTGGGACTCCAAAATCACTGCAGATGGTGATTGCAGCCATGAAATTAAAAGATGCTTACTCTTTGGAAGGAAAGTTATGACCAACCTAGACAGCATATTGAAAAGCAGAGACATTACTTTGTCCACAAAGGTCTGTCTAGTCAAGGCTATGGTTTTTTCCAGTAGTCATGTATGGATGTGAGAGTTGGACTATAAAGAAAGCTGAGCACCGAAGAATTGATGCTTTTGAACTGTGGTGTTGGAGAAGACTCTTGAGAGTCCCTTGGACTGCAAGGAGATCCAACCAGTCCATCCTAAAGGAGATCAGTCCTGGGTGTTCATTGCAAGGACTGATGTTGAAGCTGAAACTCCAGTACTTTGGCCACCTGAGGTGAGAGAATGAATAAAATCAAGAAGTCAAGCTAGGCTTGGTTAACATACTGCATCTGTAGTGTGAAGAAAAGCAAATCAATATAGTAAAGACTTAGAAATTCTGCATTGCAGAAACCTAATTTTGTATATAACTTATGTTTCCCATTGGTTGTGATCATAGGAAGTCTGTTAATATCTTCTGGGACACTAGAAGTCTACAGAACATAATTTGGAAAACACTGTATGTATTTAAACACCATTAATTTTGGTACATTGAATGCAAAATTTGTGACACGCCAAAATCATTTCTAGAATCTGAGTATAAAGTGTTATTAAAGAATGAGTAATAGCATAATAAGATAGGAAACAACTGTTGGAGCTATGAAGGACCTGAGTGTAATGGTTTTAAAAACTGTTCTTTATCACTTGTTTTCCATGTTTTTTCATCCTTTCTATGGCTTATCTTTTCATTCTCTTAACAGTGTCTTTTGAAAAACAGGAGTGATGAAGTCCAAATTATTATGTTCTTCTTTTATGAATTGTACTTTAATATATGTGTCTGAGAAACTCTTGCCTAATTTAAGGCCACAAGCATTTTCTCCAGTGCTTTCTTCTAGAGGTTTTATAGTTGCTTTAAGTTTCCAAATTCTTCTTTCGTGCAGTTTTACATACACACAGAGTTTGATTCTTTTATTGCAGTGAGCTTGCAATTTACATAATTTTACAACTTGCTCTTTTTTTCACTATTTGTTAAATCATAGTATTTTTATGTCAGTACAGTTAACATCTTTTGAGTAGTTTTCATAGTATTTGACTGGCAAATATACCATAATTTATTTAGTTTTTCTTCTCTTGATGGACAGTTGTTTCTAATTTTTTTCTGTTATAAATCATGCTCCAAGGTTTATTTTAAAATTCAGTTCAGATTTTAATTCCTGAAAATTTATTAGAAGCTTAGAACATTTCACCCTTCTAGGTTTTTGAGGTACACTTAAAGCTAAATTTTTGATAAACAGTTTCTGACTTTTCTCATTCAGATATGTAGTGGAAATGTTAGGGTGAAATTATGATGTAAACAATCATTACTTTAAAAATTTTTGTTTATTAACTTTATTAACACATCATATACCATAGCCCTAATGGATCCTTCTTACTTGAAAGAGCTGTAATAGTTTTGTTTGCAAAGCTCTGAGTCTACTAATTTCTTTTAATTATTCAGTTTATATAACTTAACCTTATTTGACTTCTCTTCTGCCACTTCCATTTTTCAAGTCTATGTGAAAAATCTATTTGATATCTGTAACAAGATTATTAATACTGTCTAAATAGTGACATCCTTTTTTTTCCCCTCAAATGGTATAAATTTTGGAAGAAACTTTATGTATCTTTTTTCTTTCTTTTTATTTTATTTATGTTATTTCGTTTTTCCATGACAGATTCAAAAGCTTTGTGACAGAGTAGCTTCATCTACTTTACTGGATGATCGAAGAAATGCTGTGCGAGCTCTGAAATCACTATCTAAGGTCTGTAACACTGTATCAGTCATTAAGGTTATTAAGTTGGATATTCCTTTCTTAAATAACATTTTTCTTTTGTGCAGAAATATCGCTTGGAAGTGGGTATTCAAGCAATGGAACATCTTATCCATGTTTTACAAACAGATCGGTATGTCTCTATTTAATGATTTTTCTCCCTAATTTTTCTTAAAATTTTAATTAATTTGTTTTAGAGTCACTGTTCCAGAAATGATTAAGGCTACTAAGTTTTTACTTTCAGTTGTCATTTCAATAAACAGTTGCTGGACACTAGATCTGAACCATTGCACTAAGCATTTAGGACAGATATAATCTAAACCTTCAGGGATTGAGAGCTTACCGTTATATAAAAAAGGAATGAAGTAACTGTCAGGTAAAGGTTTAAAATTTGGAATTTGAATTGAACAAATTAATGTATTGATTTTCACTTAGATATACTATAGTGTGCTATTCTGTAATATACATATTATATGTTATATCAGTTATCTAGACTCTGTCTTTCTGAGGGGAGGTAAGTAAACTCATACTAATAGAGTGAAGTCTTAAGGGAAAAGGCACTCAGCCTAGTTTTTGCTCTTTCAGGTTGTCTTGAAGAGAGCATCTGCATCTTTGGTTTTAATTAACAACTGTGCAGGAATAAGTTTAGATCTTATCTCTAGTTAAATATATCTTACAAGCTTTAGCTGCTCAGTTTACATTTCCGCCATATCAAGATTTCTTCACAGGTACATTAAATTCAAAATGTTCAAAAGTTAATATGTCTCTAGTTGTCCTACTAATACTCCACCACATCCCGTCACCCACCTGATCTACTTCAGCTGCCTTTGACGCAAGTTCATGCCAGTTAGCACCTTTCCATTAAAATAAGAAACTGGAGGTTTTGTGCTGAACTCATCTCTCTCCTTAACCCATTATGCCCATCCAGACCCAAAAAAAAAAAGAAAAATGCCTGGAATCCATGAATTCCCTTGATTTCAGTTGTCAGTCCTAGTTTTGACTCTCAGTATCACTCACTTAAGTCATTTTCACAGCCACTGTATTAGTTATCTACTGCTGTGTAATACATTACCTCAAAGCTTCCTGGCTCAAAATAACAAGTATTTGTTATGTCACGGTTCCTGTAGATCAGGAATTCAGAAGTGGCTTAGCGAGGTGGTTCTGGCTCAAGGTCTCTTAGGAGGTTGTGCACAAGATGTCAGCCAGGACTGGAGTCATCTGAAGGCTTGATTGGGGCTGGAGTATCTGATGCCAAAGTGACGCACTCACCTGAGGCAAGAGGCCTCAATATCTCACCTTGTTGCTCTCTCTAAAGGACTGCTTGAGCATCCTCATGATATGAAAAACTGGCTTCTCCCAGAGCAAGTGATCTTAGAGGGAGAATAGAGAGAAAGCCACAATACCTTTTAGGACTTTGTCTCAGAAGTCACCTATCGTCAATCCCATTACATTCTACTTTACTAGAAGCAAGTTAATAAATATAGCCTGTACTTAAGAAGAGGAGACTTAGGGTCCACCTTTTGAAGTGAGCTGTAACAGAGAGGTTTGGTTGTTTTTTTTTTAACGTAATGTTGGTGTTTTTTTTTTAACATAATGTAAAACCAGCCACCACCTCCAGACTCTATTCTTTGCCCCTGACTTCTTTGTCTTTCCACTCATTTCAAGAATTATCTGCCTGAAATGTAAATCTTCTATTACTCACCTGTTTAATGCATTTAACCAACTCAGTGCAGTGCAAAGTCCAAGTTCCTCAAACAAAGCAAAGCATATAAGCATTTAAAATATATATATATGTTCTAGTTCTGTGAAAAATACCGTTGGTAGTTTGATAGGGATTGCATTGAATCTATAGATTGCTTTGGGTAGTATAGCCATTTTGACAATATTGATTCTTCCAATCCATGAACACGGTATATTTCTCCATCTGTTTGTGTCCTCTTTGATTTCTTTCATCAGTGTTTTATAGTTTTCTATGTATAGGTCTTTTGTTTCTTTAGGTAGATATACTCCTAAGTATTTTATTCTTTTTGTTGCAATGGTGAATGGTATTGTTTCCTTAATTTCTCTTTCTGTTTTCTCATTGTTAGTGTATAGGAATGCAAGAGATTTCTGTGTGTTAATTTTATATCCTGCAACTTTACTGTATTTGTTGATTAGCTCTAGTAATTTTCTGGTAGAGTCTTTAGGGTTTTCTATGTAGAGGATCATGTCATCTGCAAACAGAGAGAGTTTCACTTCTTCTTTTCCTATCTGGATTCCTTTTACTTCTTTTTCTGCCCTGATTGCTGTGGCCAACACTTCCAAAACTATGTTGAATAGTAGTGGTGAGAGTGGGCACCCTTGTCTTGTTCCTGATTTCAGGGGAAATGCTTTCAATTTTTCACCATTGAGGGTGATGCTTGCTGTGGGTTTGTCATATATAGCTTTTATTATCTTGAGGTATGTTCCTTCTATTCCTGCTTTCTGGAGAGTTTTAATCATAAATGGATGTTGAATTTTGTCAAAGGCTTTTTCTGCATCTATTGAGATAATCATGGTTTTTATCTTTTCAATTTGTTAATGTGGTGTATTACATTGATTGATTTGCGGATATTAAAGAATCCTTGCATTCCTGGGATAAAGCCCACTTGGTCATGATGTATGATTTTTTTAATATGTTGTTGGATTCTGTTTGCTAGAATTTTGTTAAGGATTTTTGCATCTATGTTCATCAGTGATATTGGCCTGTAGTTTTCTTTTTTTGTGGCATCTTTGTCTGGTTTTGGAATTAGGGTAATGGTGGCCTCATAGTATGAGTTTGGAAGTTTACCTTCTTCTGCAATTTTCTGGAAGAGTTTGAGTAAGATAGGTGTTAGCTCTTCTCTAAATTTTTGGTAGAATTCAGCTGTGAAGCCATCTGGTCCTGGGCTTTTGTTTGCTAGAAGATTTCTGATTACAGTTTCGATTTCCTTGCTTGTGATGGTTTTATTAAGATCTTCTATTTCTTCCTGGTTCAGTTTTGGAAAGTTATACTTCTCTAAGAACTTGTCCATTTCTTCCAAGTTGTCCATTTTATTGGCATAGAGCTGCTGGTAGTAGTCTCTTATCTGTACCTGTGCTTTCATCTAAGAGTTTTATAGTTTTAACTCTTAGATTTAAATCCTGTATCCCATTTTGAGTTGATTTTTATATAAGGTGTGAGATTGGAATCCAACTTTTCGCATGTGGGTGTTTAGTTGTCCATCACACCATTTGTTGAAGATACTTCTTTCCTCATTGAATGGTCTTTGCACCCTTGCCAAAAATCAACTGAAATAAATGTTAGACTTTATCTATTTTATTAATCTGTGTCTGTCCTTATGCCAGTATTGTCTTGATTACTATAATTTTATAGGAAGTTTCGAAATCAGAAAATGTGAGTCCTTCAACTTTGCTCTTCTTTTGTAAGATTATTTTGGCTCTTCTGGATATGTTGCATTCTCAGCATTCCTATACAAGTTTACGATTAGCTGGTAGCTGGGGTTTTTATAGGAATTGTATGAATCTGTAAGTCAAGTTGGGGTATATTACCATGTTTACAACATTACATCTTCCTATTCATGAACACAGAATATCTTTTCATTTATTTGAGTTCTAGATAATTTCTTTCAACAATGTTTTGTAGTTTTCAGTGTACAAGTATAGGCTTTAGTAAAATTTATTTCAAAGTATTTAAAACTTTTCTATGTTATTTAAATGAAATTTAAAATTTATTGTCTGATTGTGCATTGCTAGTATAGAGAAATACAGTTGATTTTTTTAATGTTAAGCATGTGTCCTTCAACCTTGCTGAATTTATTTTCTAGTTCTAATAGATTTTTAGTGGTTTCCTTAGAATTTTCTATGTACGAGGTCATGTCATCAGTGAATGGGATAGTTTTAGGTCTTCCTTTCTAATCTGTATGTTTTTTTATTTCCTTTTCTTGCCAAATGCTCTAGCTAGAACCTCTAATTCAGTGTTGGGTAGAAGTGGCTAGAGGAGACATCATTATCTTGTTACTGATCTTAGGAGTGAAGCATTTAGTTTTTCACCATTACATATGATGTTAGTTGTCAGATTTTCATTTTGAGGACGTTTCCTTCTATTCCTGCTTTCTCAAAAGTCTCTTAAGAGATGTCCCTCTTAAGTTTCTCAAAAACAGGTAATAATAATTTTAAAGGTCTATTTTATTTGATATTTACATCCTCTGGTTGTGACTCTGTCCCTCATTTTTGCTTTCACTCCTCATCACTTCTTTATATTTATTGAATCTTTCTGACCTGTGTCTCATTCTTGCTTTTCACTCTGAATGCCATCATCTTCCATCATGCTTTCACATTTCATCTGTTTATCAACAACAAAAATATTCTTCCTTGGACTTCCCTTCCAGTGGTTAAAAGACTCTGCACTTCCAGTGCAGGGAGCATGGTTTCAATCCCTGGTCAAGGAACTAAGATCCCACATGCCACAAGACAAAAAAAAAAAATTATACTTCCTGAAACAAAAAAAGATTAAAAAATTTTATACTTCCTGAAACAAATGAGTAAAAGGAAAAAACTTTATACTTCCTGATGTTACAAATCATTAATGTTTACTGTAAGTTTTTTTTTTTTTTAAGAAAATAAAATACAGATCAAGGAAATAAATTCTAAAGGTCCAACTAGAGAGAACACTTATGTTTATATAATATATATGTTATATAAACATATTTATGTTACAAAACATATATGTAAACATACACACAGGCTTAAAAAATTACCTGGCTTGTACTGATTTTGCTTGTTTTAAAGTTGGATTTCTTTTCCATATTGATTTATAAGGTTTCCTTAAAATATATACATATACATATGAATATATATATGGTTTTTCATAGATGGGATCAATCTTCACATTGATTGTTGTATTCCATTTTTTTCCTACTGGCATTAAATCAGGGATGTTTTAATTACCATGTCATTAAACATTCTTTAAAAATACATTTTTTAATTGCTGCTATATATGGATTTACCACACTTTTTAAAAATATTATTGGACATTTAGGTTGCTTCTGATTTTTCAGTATTATAAAAAAAAATAGACCTTTATATGTCTTTACAGTTTGCACTCTGATGTTTTCTTAGGGTAGGTCTTCAGAAGTGAGATTAATGTTTTATACAATCTTGTTAAATAAAAGTCTAAAATGGTCGTAACAGCTTATACTCTAACTGGCAGTGTATAAGTGTAATAATTTCTTTCTTCCAGTTCGGATTCTGAGATAATAGGTTATGCTTTGGACACACTGTATAATATAATATCTAATGATGAAGAGGAAGAAGTAGGTAAGTTTCTTTTACTGTGTTTTCTGTACATAAAATTAACTGGATTGTGCCATTTTTGCTATTTTAGGGTTGATTTTATTTTATAAATTTATTTTTAAGGTTTTTTTTTCTTCTTTTTTTGTTCTAATCAATAAAGGGAAAACATTAGAAAATATCTTTACGATGACTGCTTTGTATGCGATTTGGAGGTGGAATTAGATTCTCCTTTTTAAAATATATTATTCTCTCTTCATTGATTTTAGTTAAGCAGAATGAATGTTAGTAATCTCTCAATTAAGTAATCATTTTTGGATATTGATTAAAAATCAAACTTTTATTTATATGGTGAGCAGTATGAAGTTAGAGGAATTGTTCCTGATATATACTTAAATTTCTAACACAGGTCTTATGTTAACTTTTTTATTTTTAGAAGGTTTTTTGTTTTTCTGTGTTTGCTTTTTGGTCACACCATGCAGTTTGCAGTATCTTAGTTCCCCAGCCGGGGATTGAACCCAGTCCATGGCAATGAAAGCCTGGAATCCTAACCTCTTGGCCACCAGGGAAATCCCAGCATGGGAAATACTTGACTGGAAGTCCGTACATTTTATTCCATGTTATTGTAAAAACAGACACTGAGTAACATTTTACAATGCTATTGAAGAATACTTTCCTTATTTCACATTGATTGTTGCAATAGGGCATAGTGGGTTTTTCATTTTTCTAGACAATCTAAAGGGTGATATTCATGCATATTATAAGTCTAATTTAGACTGAAATTATAGGATCCTGCAAAATCTGAGTAGGTAAGTCATAAAGAAATGTAGATAATATTGTTTACACATATTTTATTAAAGAGTGGAGCAGAAATATATATATAGATATTAATTTCACAAAATACCAGTAATTAATAACATTTGAAACTGGGTTGTGTTGCATAATCACAATTTCTTAGAGTTGAATATCCTTTCTCTTAAATTTTTATTTCTCTGTGATATCTACCTCACAACTTTATTAATTTCTCAGGGGTAAAAAAATCTTCAGTAAACATAATTTGGTTCCCATTGAAAAAGAGGCTGTCAGTTACATAACAATACTTAAATACAGTACAACCATTTTGAAGAAAAAGATACTTATTTCCACTAGTCATTTCTCAGATGAGAAAATTAGATGCAGTTACACTTGTTAGAAAACATTAAATTTTTTCTTAGTTGTTTCAGATTGAAAATTTAGCTATTTTCTTCTTCATAATTTTTGTGTTTTTAAAAAAAATGTTTAGCATCAATTAGGTGATTTTCCTTTGTCATAAGTTCATAATCTAGTAATGTTTAGGTCCATTTTTTTGCTTCTGTTAATGTATTTAGGCTCCTTATTTTTAATTTACCATCCAAAAGGTGATTCTTTGGATGAAACAGGGTAAACAATTCTAGAAACTACATTGTGGAGTCATTTTTTCTAGGAAAGATTAAAATATGAACTTAGGCTAATAGCCTGAATCAATTTTTAGAAAAATAGGTATTGAGAAATAGGGTCTTCAATTCTGTTATTGATACTTTGTCTTTACTGCTTCATCAAAAAATATTTCTTAGGTGATATAATGAACTTCATTTTAGAATGAATTCAACTTCATTGGAGTTATTTTAATAAACCCTCAATTTATTGGTAAATATGTCTCATAACTCTACATATATAGTACATGCTATATCTATTAGAATATCTAAGATATTTGAGTAAAATGAGTATGAAGCTCTTCCTTTAAAAAATTATATTGCTTATATGATGTTTTTAAGCTTTTATTTATTTTACTGTGAATACTACTACATAAAGTTTTCTTTATCATCCACTTTTCATTTATTTATTTTGTCCACCTTTTCAGATGATGTTGAAGGTAAAAGATTGCATTTAATATGCATGATGCTTTTAGGCATAATTTCTGATAATATAAAAGGACACTGTCAAGTGAGTTTCTTCTGACTGGTAAAAAAAATCTTGAGATTTATTTCAATATATAAGAATTCCTTCACTAAAAAGGAATATTTTATAATCATATATTATTATTTACTATTTCTATGACTGCAAATTATTTGTTGTCCAGGACACAGAAAATATTCTAGTACATATTTTAATGAAATTAAAGTTTTTTCTCTGGTAGGACAATCTATTTGAATTACTTCTTATGTATTTCCAAGGGGGAAATTTTTGAGGCAGTTTATTTAAAAATAAAAATAATATTTGAATATGTATACATATATGTGTGTGTATACATATAAATTTTACCTATATTCAAGAACTGGAAGGTATTCCAGTTCAGAGAATACTTATATGTTGATATTGTCCCTTTAAAATTATGCATGCACAATAATGTCTGGTTACTGACATTTTTTAATATTAATTTATAAAACTCACCAATGTTGCTTTTTTTCTGGTGGTCTGTTTCAATTTCCATTTACTTTTTAACATTGATTCTTCTTTTCCTCATAGTTAATTTAAAGTAACCACATTTTCTTTTGTTTTGCCATTTTTCCTGAGATCCTTAACTTTTTAAAATGAAAGAAGAAAAAATCTGTATCTAAAGTAGGTTTAAAATGGTACATGACAAAATTTCTTATACCTAACAAAAAACTAACAAAGAAACTAACTTATTAAGCTATATAACATTACCTTTTGTGAAATTTGAACCCCTTGTTTCAAAGCAGATAATACTGACTGCCTAATTAATTAATATGCCTTGACTCTTGCGAAAATGCTGTGTCCTTGTTGAGTAGTACTATTATTGTTTTGTCATATTTATAGAGTTTAAATTTTACAGTGCTTCTATGTCCATTATCTTATTTGATCCTGTTAGCAAACTGTGAGGTAGGTGATATTTTTCTCTTTACTAAAGAGAAACCCCAGAGATATATGACTTACATGATATTGTCTACTAAGTAGAGTAACAGAAATTTTTTTATACCTTTTTTGTATTCCATAGTTTTTGATTTAATAAATTTGGCCATTTTTTCTGACTAGATTCTTTATTAAATCTTGTAATTTATACAACTAGTTTATGCAACTAGCAGACAGTTGTTTAAAACTATAGGTCTGCTTGTTTACCTAATTGACCACAGTGTAAAAGATTACTTGGTATTCCCTCACTCTGAGTTAGAACTACCTTTTTTAGAATATCTCTTTTGTCCTCCATAAGACAGATTATGAACTTGATGTGGCGTTTCAACAAGAAGGTCCAGAATGTTTTTTAATATTGTTTATATAACTGTAAAAAAACACAACTGTAAATACATTTGAAGAGTAAATGTATATATACATATTTAGTTAAAAGCCACATAAATAAGTGTGAAATGTTTCCAGAGGTTTATATGGACTTTTTAAAAAGCAATCTTTAATTTGATATGCCTGTCTTAGGTTTATTTTCACTATAATTTCAAAGGGTCATTTTGTTCTTAATTTTTCATTTGGGATTCTCTGGTGGCAAAGAATCTGCCTGTCAATGCAGGAGACTGGGGTTCAATCTCTGGGTGGGAAACATCCCCTTTAGAAGGAAATGGCAACCCACTCTAGTGTTCTTGCCTGGAGAATCCCAGGGACAGAGAAGCCTGGCGGGCTACAGTCCACGGGGTCGCAACAGAGTCAGACATGGTAATTAAACAGCAACAAAGGGATGTTTATTTTTACAAGTTATAGTAAGTATACCAAATAGTACATAAGCTGTAGGATGTAAAAACATAGACTTAGCTCTGGAATTTTTAAAATAATTATACTGGATGAAAAGAAATTGTTTACGTGTTTCATACTTTTGCCTACTTATAAAAATATGGTATTTCATGAGTCTAGTTTTGTTTTACAATCTTTAGATATAATTAGTGTTGTAGTTTTAGCTTGACTAACTTCTACATCAAAATAGCTTTGTATGTTACTTTAATTGTCTAGCAAATTTTTGTGGTACTCTCCATTAAAATTTAGAAGTGCTGTCTTATGACTGTAATTTGAAGGAAGTGGAGTACATCTCACTAACACCTTTTTAGTTAATATTAAATCAGAAGGAACCATAGATCCTTGGAACAGGCTCATATTTTACTAGTTCAATTCAAAGCATAGATCTTAATTATATACTGCTAAGCTATAGTATTTTATAGAGTATAGCTACAGAATAAATTGCATGTATAGTATTAAATCTACTTCTTCCTAAGTTATTAGCTGTGCTCAATACCTGCACTAAATTAAACTTTTTCTCGGATTAAACTTCTGTTCCTTGAAATATAGCACAAAAGTTCTAGAGTTCTCTGTATTAAAAGGGATCTGAAAAAATAAAAAGAGATCTGTAGTTAAGCATAACATACTGTATCTCCCTCTGAAATGTCACAAAATTTACATTAGTATACTAAATATTGAGAATCCTGCAAAAAGGAGCCTATTCAGTTTTGTTTAATCCAGACATATTTGTGTACCTGTGCTTGATTTCATGAGAAACCTGTTAACACATGCCACACAATCCTGCATTTTGAGAAATATTAACCAATACTTAAACCGACAGCTTAGTTATTTGCATTTATCCACATAAAAATATTTCATAGGAAGAATCCATCAAATCTTTATATGGTTTTCCTCCCTTCCTTTTAAGATTAACTTAGAAGTTTGAATATTCTCCCAAATGTCAATCTTTTTTTTTTTGACCGCACTGTGTGGCATGTGGGATCTTAGTTCCCTGGCCAGATATCAAACCCATGCCCCCTGCAGTGGAAGCATGGACTCCTAACTACTGGAGCGCCAGGGAAGTCCCCCAAATACCACTGACTTTTATTTTGAACCCTTCTCTAGAGGTCACAGTCTTTAAGGCCAAGGGCATTGTCTTGTCTTACATGCAAGGTTGTTTGACCACTTAGTATTTTAAATAATAAATACATCGCTCACATTAAAAATGGGGTACTTTGATATCACTTTTTAGATTTTGAGCTGTTCTTTTTAAAAGCTCTGAAGACTGATGACACCTGGGCCTGCACTGTCCCATGGGAGCAGTCAGTCGGCGC